AAGGAAGCCATGGATGTGATTACATCACTATTGGAGAAATATGGACAAGGTGGTCAGTGTAATGAAGATAGTGACGGTGATTGGTGCTATCACAACTCTTTTCTCATTGCTGACTGTAAAGAAGCTTGGGTTCTCGAAACTGCTGGACAGTTGTGGGCTGCTGAACATATCACTGGTAAAGATTTTTTCTGTTTTATGTTACCCCAGTTTCATTTTATTTTTGCAAACCGCTGTTTTTAATGCAAGTGTGTGTCAACTTTATTTAACTAGTCCATCAGTTGTGCCTTCATCTTTGGAAAATATACTGTCAGAAATGTATGTTTTTATGCAGTCTAAGCCAGTATCTCTCAAACATTTAATAACCGTAAAGCTGGAATCAGTAATTTAAATTATCTTTATTTATACAAGATAGGAACTAAGTGGATCTTGATAAGACCTTTTTGCTGTGTGGAAACAACTGTCAGAGGAACAGCCTCAGTAGGTTTTTTTTTGCTCCGCCTGTCATCTTCGTTGGTATAGATGATTGTCCATTGTTGTCGTCCCACACCGTGTGACGTGTAAACTTTTTTTCAGACGACCTTTTTTTGAAAACCGTTTGACTGTTATTCCTTGAGTGGATACTTAAATTTGAATGAGGATATCTTCATTTCTGTAATTAATTAATTTTTGGTTAAAAATTGTTTACTTTAATTTCTTTAATACTTTGCATTTTGTTTCAGAGGGAATACGTAATATATCCAATGGCTTGACCATTCGCACTAAGATTGATGCAATGTCTGATGGTTTGAAGGAACATGCTCAGTCTAAAGGTTTCTGGAATGGTGAAGGAGATTTTGATTTTGCTTTAGCCTATTCGTCTGATAGTGACGGAAAAACTGTAGATGACTGTTCTCGATATACTGCAGGCAAGAGACTCTTGTCAGCTAACCTTGGTAAGATGCATCTCTTGTTTCTAATGCTGCATTACTTTTAGACTACCATGGTTTCTGATTCGGTCCTACATCACAATTGATAACGGCTGCTCATAAACATTTCATGGCGAGGTAGTTCCAATAATCCATTTCACTCATTTTCGGCATCCTACACCAAACATTTAGATTGGAAAGATGTATAATAATAAGTTTATTACAAAAATACCACATATTATGAAATCAGACAGTACACAATCGCATTGACCTTACCTTCACTACACAACAGCCAATACTACCTCTGTCTTCATGCATATCCTTACCTTCACTACACAACAGCCAATACTACCTGTCTTCATGCATATCCTTACCTTCACTACACAACAGCCAATACTATCTCTCTGTCTTCATGCATATCCTTACCTTCACTACACAACAGCCAATACTACCTCTGTCTTCATGCATATCCTTACCTTAACTACACAACAGCCAATGCTACCTCTGTCTTCATGCATATCCTTACATTCACTACACAACAGCCAATACTACCTCTGTCTTCATGCATATCCGTACCTTCACTACACAACAGCCAATACTACCTC